TAGAATCTCAATCATACAAGATCAGCCTGTAAGGAAAACTTTCAAATATTGTAATGTTTGGAGCACATATTCACTTTTTTTTGAGATTGTTAGAGAGAGCTGGAATGAACAGGTTCAAGGGTACACAATCTTTAAGGTGATAAAATAATTGAAACACTAAAGTAGAGCTGAAACAGATAAATAAGTAGCATTTTAGCAACATCCTTAAAGATGTCCAAATAACAAAAACCTTATTACTAGATGTCTAGGCCAAACTACAACTGGAACCATAGAATCATAGTCTTCAGACAGAGGAGAAAACATCATATTTGAGGTACAAGGAAGCCTCTATTCTAGCAGAAAAGTTTCTTCTACAAAAGAGTAAGGCTACTTGGATTAGATTTGGTGATGATAACACCGAGTGTTTTCATTCAGTGATCAAACAAAGGAAATTGCAGCAGTCGGTTACACAAATACAATATGAATTTGGGATCACTCAAACAGATCCTAATGTGATAGCAGGTGTTTTTGTTAAATTTTATCAAAAACTTACTAGGTGAGGTGGGAGGAGCATGAAGTCCTGCTTATACAGGATTCATGGGAAATGGCCCCATTCTTGAAGTAGAACAACAATTGAATCTAATGAAAGCATTTATTGAGAAGGAAGTCAAGAAAGCTATGTTCAGAATCTGTATCAACAAAAGTTTAGGTCCGGATGGGTATGGGAGTGGTTTTTTCAGAGTTGCATGGATCATTATTGGTAATGAAGTCACATAAGTAGTGTTAGAGTTTTTTTCAATATGGAAAGTTCTGGAAATAGATTAATGCAACAATAACATTGATTCCTAAAGTTGATAGACCAATGGAGGCTAGCCAATTCAGGCCAGTCTCGTGTTGTAATGTGGTTTACAAGTATATCTCTAAGGTGTTATGCAAGAGGTTATATGGTGTTCTGCCATTGGTGGTGACGGAACAAGCTGCTTTTGTTCAAGGAAGGTCAATGATTCATAATGTATTAATATGCATGACTTGCTATGACATTGTAAGAGGAAAACTTCACCCATGTGTATGATGAAAATTGACCTACGAAAGGCATATGATATAGTTAGATGAGAATTTATTGAAGAAATGCTACAAGGTTTTGGATTTCCTAGAAGATTTGTTAAATTAGTTATGAATTGTGTGACTTCTACAAAGTTTTCAGTGAAGGTAAATAGGGAGGGGTATGGATATTTTTGAAGTAAGAAGAGGTTTGAGGCCAGGAGACCCACGTATCCTCTATTATTTTTCATGGTTATGGAATATTTCTTAAGGGTGTGAACTGAATGTTCCAGCTTCCAGATGTGCAAACGTTTGGGGCTGACACACCTAATTTTTGCAGATGATCTAATGATCTTTTATAAAGGAAATGAATCTTCTATTTAACAAAGTCATGGCGGCACTTCAACATTTCATATCACAACTGGTCTTTTTGCTAACTTGGACAAATCTAACATCTTCATTGCAGGTGTAGATGAGGAGATCAGGGACAAACTGATTGCAAGAACTGACTTTTTAGCATAAGTGTTTCCAATGAGATATTTGGGACTCCCACTCTCTACAAAGAAATGGAATAAACTGAACTGCTTGCAGTGAATTGATAAAAATCACTGCTAAAATCAAGTCTGCCTCTGCTAGACATCTATCACATGATGGTCGGCTGCAAGTTATCAATCTAATATTGTTCTCCCTCCACAACTTTTGGGGATCAGTGTTTATCTTACCACAGAGTATGCTGAAGCAGATGGATAAACAATGTAGCAAGTACTTGTGGGGCAGTACATATGACAAGAAGAAAGTTTTCCTAGTGACATGAAAACAAATGGGTTTGCTTAACAAATATGGTGGCCTAAATGTGAACAGGTTGTGGAATCTGGCATCAATAGGAAAGTTACTATGGTTGTTGGCTGGGAAAAAAGATATGCTATGGGTTAAGTAAGTACATGAGATTGATATGAAAAATGATCTAGATATCTGGGAATACACTCCTGCTGAATGAAGTTGGTATTGGAAAAAGTTGAATACAATCAAGTGAAGAATGGCACATTGGTAAATAAATGGAAAATATTCTTTGTCAGGTGATAGTAGGCTATATAGTTGATATTTACACATTAATATGACCATGCTTTGTTATTTTTTTTATAGGTAAATTGCCAACAAAATACTCTAAATAATGTTCTTTTGTTTCGCAGGAAATATTATATGTGAGGAAGCAACATGGAGTGTTTTGGAGGCGATAATATGAAGAAAACGCGCACTCGAAAAGTACCCGAGCACGAAGAAGCAGAAAATGGCATGGGCAAGAAGTCCACCGTGACCGCGGTGAACCGCGGCAGATTAAAAAAAAGTGAGGCAGAAAGGTCAGCTCTCACCGCGGTCGACCGCGGATGCACTGTTCACGCTGCTGGAAGTTTGGGGACCAAAGTGTAATTTCGGGAAAACTTTTGTAAAACCCTTATAAAGCTTTAGAAACTCGCCCAAGATTGTTTTTAAGCTTGTTTTAGACTACTTTTGGAGGAAGAACAAGTGTGAGAAGATCAACCAAACATTAGAGTTTTTTCTATCTCCTTTTAATTCTTGCAATTTTACATTATGATTAATCTAGTAATTTTCTCTTATTTTGTTATGAGTAGCAAAACAATTATCTAGGGTTGATAGAACCAATTGTTGGTTGAAGTTTTGACTCAATTTGTTATAATCGAGCCAGAATTATTATATGATTGTTCAATTATGTTTTGTATGGTGATTAATTGAATGGGCCCTTGATTAATCGTGTCTAATTACCTCATATTGCTTGAGAAAGAATATTAGGTTAGACAGCTGTTGAACAACACCACTTTTGGGTAATTGAAGAGATTCATTACTTGAACTTAAAAGTGGGTTTAGAGATAACAAAACTTTGATGGGATAATTTAGAGTTGCACACATATTGTCAGCTAGAGTAGTTCGAGAGAATGCTCTAGTAAATTATTATAGTTGATTGAGAGATAATTATAACAACCCATAACTCTTAATCCTCATAGAGTATTATAGCGAAAGAGTCAAGACCTAAACTAGCAATTGGGGAAATCACTGCCCTAAACCTTTTAACATTGAATTATCTTTGCTTTAGCTTATTGTTGTTTTTAATAGTATTTGAAGTAGTTTAACAAAAACCCAATCTTTATTGATTAAAAATCTTGCATCTAGAAATTAGTTGAGTTGATAATAACATTGCCGAAGAGTGTAATAGATAGGTTAGTTCCCTGAGGATTCGACTCCGGAATTAAAACCGGATTATATTTGCAGCGACCGCTTTGTCTTTTAGAAGACATAGTTGGGCGTGACCAAATTTTGGCGCCGTTGCCGGGGAGCTAACGGTGTTATTTATTACAACTTAGAAGTAGTTTTAGAATTATTAGTTTAGATTAGTTTTCGAAGGTGTTAAACAATCTTTTCATTAAAATTCTCACGTTTGAACTCTTATGGAATTTAGGTGTATGCCTAGAAATTCTTTGAGGTTTGGAGAAATTTTAGAAGGACTCTCAGACCCCGAGAAAACATTCAGGGCATTGAACCGTGCCAACAAGAGAATCCAACAATCACAACAACCACACCAGTTCGAATTTGACATGGGTGACGCAGAAAACGTCAACGGAAACGTCGGGGATCCGCCAGCTATCCCAAATGTTAGAGTAGTGGCACCTCTTGTGCCAAAAGCTGCACTTTATGATTGGGCACAACCCATAGCTAACAACCTGGCTACTGCCATAGCTGTGCCAGCAATTCAAGCGGAGACCTTTCAGATAACCAATAATATGCTGCATCTTCTGCAGAATAAAGGATTGTTTTTCGGAGCACACATTGAAGACCCTCAGCAATACTTGATTTTTTTTTGTCGATTTGTGAGACCCAAAGGCAGCCGAATGTGACCCCGGAAGCTATCAAGCTGTTACTGTTCCCGTTCTCTGTGATCGGGGAAGCTCAGACTTGGCTAACTTTGCTCCCTATCAATTCTATTGTCACCTGGGAGGAATTAGTCAAGCAGTTCCTGAATAAGTTCTACCCACCCAACAAGACTGCAAGACAGATTGATGAAATATTGCAGTACAGGCAGCAGCCGACTGAGACCTTGCAGAAAACTTGGGAAAGATTTAAAGGGATGCTAGTGAAATGTCCTCACCATGGCATTCTAGACCAGATGCTCGGCCAGAGGTTCTACATGGGGTTAGCTGACAATCAAAAAGCAAATGTGGATGCTTCAGCTGGAGGTGCATTTTTGAGTAAGACATTCACCGAGTGCAAAGTCCTTTTTGAAAAGATGTCACAGAATTCGAGGTGGATGACTAGAGGTACAACACTGGCACCCATAGTGCATTCAGTTCCTCTTGACCCAAATAATTTGCATGTAGAGAACATGACCATACTCATGACTCAAATGAGCATATTGACAAAGAATATTGATGAGATGGGTACAAAACATGTGCACATTGTTGACACAATAAATGGAGGACTGTGTACACCTTGTGTTAATCAGTCATATGTGTGTTCATGGAATGGAGAAGGTGAAATTCAAGGGGAAAGAGAAGATATGAATTATGTTAACAACTTTGGGGGTCAACAAGGAGGACAACAGTGAAGACCGGTACAAAATCAGCAATACAAACCAAATATGCCACAGCCTGGGGGTATGCAACCTCAAGGCCAAATGGTGCCATCCATATCAGAGACAGCAGGGCTATCCACAGCAAAATCAGCAACAATTAACATATCAACCACCTTCTCAGCAGCAAGACAACAACATGGTGGAGATTAGGGTTATGCTTCAGCAACTCATTGGGACAAATGGTAAAATGCAGGAAAAGTTGGTAGTTCATGATTCAGCTATAAAGAACATTGAAACTCAGTTGCGGCAGTTGTCTATGGCTTTAAACAACTGCCCCCAGGGAACATTGCCAGCAGACACAAATATTAACCCCAAGTAGCAAAACCCAAATCAGCAGATGGCAGTAAGTCTCCAGAATGAGAGAGATTTAGACAAAGCGCAGGAAGTTGCACAAGCCAGCAAAGAGACTATGCCAGCCACTCCAATTCCAGTAGAGGTAAATGAACCAACAGACCTTACTGAAGTGGTGGTTGAACAAGGTCAAGATGAAAAAGGTAAGGCTAAGGTAAATGAACAAGCTGCAGAACAGGTGGTGCCTCTTGTGCCACAAAACCCCAACAGAGAGAAGCCAGCAAGCAGTGCACAAAGGGTGATACCGGCACCGTTCCCTCATAGACTGGTAAAACAAAAGAAGGAAGATCAATACAAGAAATTCATGGAGATGCTGCGTCAAATTCAGTTGAATATTCCTTTGATGGATGCCTTGAGGGAGATGCCAGGTTATGCGAAGATGATGAAGGACCTCATGTCACGGAAGTTTGATTTTTAGGACTTATCTACAGTGACTCTGACGCATATCTGCGGTGCAGTAGTGATAAGACCGATGGCCCAAAATATGTCCGACCCAAGTAACTTCACTATTTCATGCACGATTGGGAGTTATGCCTTTGCAAAGGTATTATGTGATTTGGGAGCCAGCATAAATTTGATGCCTCTGGTTGTATACACCAAACTGGGCATTGGCAGAGCTAGACGGATTTCAATGTTACTGCAGCTGGCTGACGGCACGGTTAAAAGGCCAACTGGGATTCCTGATGATGTGTTGGTACAAGTGGGGAAGTTCGGTGTTCCATGCAGACTTTGTTATTCTGGACTGTCAGGTAGATGAAGAGATACCTATCATTTTAGGTAGGCCATTTTTGGCCACTGGGAGAGCACTGATCAATTGTGAGACTGGGGAATTAAAAATGAGATTGAACGATGAAGAAGTCATATTCAATGTTCAGCAATCCATGAGGAGACCTAGTGAATATGCTAATTACTCCCTAGTGGAGGCAGTGGATGCGATCCTGCAAAAAGATGATGTGACCCTGACTGCTAAAGATCCATTGGAGGCATGCCAGACAAATTTAGAAGAGATGGATAGTGAAGGGTTAGCTGAGTGGGTCATGGCACTTGAAGGCCAAGGATTTTGGAAAAGGGAACCTCAGTTCGAGTCCCTTGAGTTAGAAAAAAAAGCTACACCTCCAGCAAAGCCATCAGTAGAGAAACCACCCAAGCTGGAGCTGAAACCACTCCCAACTCACCTCAGGTACGTTTTCTTAGGCCCTGATTCTACTTTGCCTGTCATTATATCATCCGGTTTGCTAGATGTGCAGGTAGAACTGCTCTTACAGGTACTGCAGGAAAGTAAGACTGCCATTGGCTGGGCCATGGCAGACATAAAGGGTATCAGCCCATCCTTCTGTATGCACAAGATTCTCTTGGAAGAAGGGCACAAACCTTCCAGAGAACATCAATGAAGGCTGAACCCGAACATGAAGGAGGTAGTGAATAAGGAAGTGATCAAATGGTTAGATGCGGGAATCCTCTTCCCCATCTCTGATAGCAATTGGGTCAGCCCTATCCAATGTGTGCCGAAAAAGGTAGGAATGACTGTTGTACAAAAGGAGAACAATGAGTTGATCTCAATTCATACAGTCACGGGATGGCGGATATGCAAGGATTACCGGAAATTGAACACAGCCACCCGGAAGGACCACTTCCCCCTGCCATTCATTGACCAAATGTTGGACAAGCTGACCGAGCGATCGCACTTCTGTTTCTTGGATGGATATTCGAGGTACAATCTATCAATAGCCCCTGAAGATAGAGAGAAAACATCCTTCACTTGTCTGTATGGCATCTTCGCCTTTCGGAGAATGCCTTTTGGGCTTTGCAATGCACCGACGACATTTCAATGGTACATGTTAGCCATTTTCACAGACATGGTGGAGGATATTATGGCGTTCTTTATGGATGATTTCTCTGTGGTGGGAGATTCATTCGAGGACTGTCTTCACAACTTAAGAAGAGTGCTCAAAAGATTTGTGGAGACAAATTTAGTGCTGAACTAGGAGAAGTGCCATTTTATAGTACAGGAAGGGATAGTCCTGGCATCGAGTGTCCAGTAAGGGAATTGAGGTTGACCATGCTAAGGTTGACGTGATTGAAAAGCTACCACCGCGTACTTCAGTCAAGGCGGTGAGAAGTTTCCTTGGGCACGCCGGGTTCTACAAGCGATTCATAAAAAATTTCTCCAAAATTGTTAACCCATTATGCAAACTCCTTGAAAAGGATCACCCCTTTGTGTTTTCTAATGATTGCAGGTTGGCATTTGAGGAGTTGAAGAAGAGATTGATGACTACACCCATCATTATTGCTCCCAATTGGGAGCAACCGTTTGAGCTCATGTGCGACGCAAGTGACATGCCATAGTAGCAATCTTGGGGCAGCGAAAGGATAAGTTGATGCACCCGATTTACTATGCAAGCAGAACGCTACGCGGTGCAAAACTCAATTATACCGTGACGGAAAAGGAGATGTTAGCTGTTGTTTTTGCATTCGACAAATTCAGGTCATACTTGATTGGATCGAAAGTTATTGTTTACACTGACCATGCAGCAATTAGGTACCTGATTGAAAAGAAGGAGTCAAAGCCACGCTTGATTCGCTGGGTTCTTCTGTTACAAGAATTCGATCTGGAGATACGTGACAGAAAAAGGACAGAGAACCAAGTAGCTGACCATTTCTCAAGGTTGGAAGGAGCTGAAAAGAAGGTAGAGGTTGAGGATATAACATAGACATTCCCGGATGAACAATTACTAGCAATGACAATGGAGGAGGCACCATGGTATGCTGATATTGCTAATTATTTAGCAAGTGGTATTGTACCTTATGAACTCTCCTCAATTCAAAAGAAAAAGTTCTTTCGTGATTGTCGGTATTATTATTGGGATGAACCTCTATTGTTTAAAATATATGTAGATAACATGATCCGGCGGTGTATCCTCGAGAAAGATCAATATTCTGTTTTGCAGGCTTGCCATGCTTCACCATATGGTGGACACTTTGGAGGAATTCGGACGGCAGCTAAGGTGTTGGAGTCGGGCTTGTACTGGCCTACTCTGTTCAAGGATGCCCATGCTTGGGTTAAAAACTGCGATGAATGCCAAAGGACTGACAACATATCTCGTAGACACGAGATGCCAATGACCACAATTCAAGAGGTAGAGATTTTTGACATGTGGGGGATTGACTTCATAGGGCCATTTGTCAGCTCGTATGGTAACAAGTACATATTGGTAGCAATTGACTACGTCTCCAAGTGGGTCGAAGCAGTGGCTCCCCCGACCAATGATGCTAAAGGGGTAATAGAATTTCTAAAGAAGAACATTTTCACACGTTTTGGTACCCCAAGAGCTATACTCAGTGATGGCGGAACCCATTTCTGCAATAGAGCATTTGCACGACTGTTGGAAAAATATGGAGTTTGTCATAAAGTGACCACCCCGTACCACCTACAATCGAACGAGCAAGTTGAAGTGTCCAACAGGGAGATTAAAAGTGTCCTTACAAAAATAGTGAATGCAACAAGGACTGACTAGGCAAAGAAGCTGGATGATGCATTGTGGGCGTACCGCACAACCTTCAAAACCCTAATTGGTATGTCACCGTACAAGTTGGTGTTTGGAAAGGCATGCCACCTCCCAATTGAGCTAGAGCATAAAGCACTTTGGGCATTGCGGCAGTTGAACTTAGACATGGAGACAACAGGTACTAATAGAGTCACTGGATTACATGAGCTCGAGGAATTCAGGTTCCAGGCTTTTGAGAGTGCTAGATTATACAAAGAAAGGATGAAATTAATGCATGATAAGCACATCTTGGATCGAAACTTCAAACCCAGAGATCTAGTGTTGTTATACAACTCGAGATTGAGATTGTTTCCGGGTAAGTTAAAGTCTCGATGGTCAGGACCCTTCAGAGTGGTGCAAATGTTCTTAAGTGGAGCTGTTGAGATTGAATCAGAAGATGGGACAAATAAGTTCACAGTAAATGGGAAAAGGCTGAAACATTACCTTAGAATGGCTGAAGAAAAAAGGGATAAAGTGGTAATCACTTTGGAAGAGCCCCAGTATGCGAATGAGGAGTGATGATCAAATGCTTGCATCATGCCGCGACGTTAAATCAGGCGCTGCGTGGGAGACAACCCACGAGTGTTGTTGTTAGTGTGTTCATGTAACTTCATAAAATAAAAAATGTCAGCACCGCAACCGCGGCAAACCGTGGTGGAAGGCAAACATTCTGCCTCAGATTTTACATTCCACCGCGACCGCGGTGAGGTGTGAACATTCTGCCTCAAATTTTTAAACCCACCGTGGCCGCGGTGGACCGCGGGGGTACCAGGTATTTTTTTTTCTTTTCCGTTTTTCTTATTCTTTTCCTCTTTTTTTAATTTAATAACCCCCCTATTATAACAAAAAACCCCTTCCCCAAATATCAAAACAACTGACATCCCCCCTCATTCTAATTCTTCATCTCCCTTTCTTCACAACCCTAACCCCCAAATCCCTTCTTCTTCTCCTTCTTCTTCACTCATACTAACATCCCCCACCTCCATTCCTCTCACCCATTTTTCAACTAAGGTATGTACTTACCTCTCCTCTCTCTTTTCTATGGTTTTGTGTTGTATTGTGTTATAGCTTATGTAGTTTTATGTTGATATGGTGTTGTAATTGTTGGTAGATTTTTGTAGTTTCTTCTTGTTTTTCTATTTAAATTTTGTTTTTGACCATGATTGGTAAAGGGGTTGTTTATTTAATGTGGTGGAACGGTGTTGTTGGTGGGTGATTGAATAAAGAAAGTATGGGGTGTATGGGTGTAGTAGCATATTTGATTTGGGGAAGTTTTGCTAGAGTCACATGGGCTGTGTATATGAAGATATTTGTCTTGCCCACAAGGTGTTTGGGGAATTACTCCAATAGAGTTATAAGGAGCTAATGTGACATGGTTGTGGTGAAGTCTGAGTAACCACTCATAGTCACACACTTCACTCACTTACTCACTAATAGGTGTTTCGTTGTATGACAGGTACAATGAGTTCTTCCAGGAAGAGACGAAACACCGGGCCCTCCGCTAGTGGACCGGGAGGCTCCTCACGAGCTATGAGCCAAGCCAGTTCACCTCAGTTCTATAGCACTCGGTTTGTATCCAAATCAGCGGAGGATAGGTACAACTAGAAAGCAGCTAAGAAGTTGCAACATGAGGTGCACATTGATCGAACGGCTTTGGAGGTGGAATGCCCCAATATTTTTAATGAGCTGAGGTAGTGTTAGTTGGACATCTTCTTCGAGGTACCAGAGGAGGCTAATGTTCAGCTAGTAAGGGAGTTCTATGCGAACTTGCTAGAACATGAGAATGGGATTGTGACAGTGCGCAATACCCCGATAAATGCATCTCTCAACACCATCCGCAAGGTACACAAGCTTCCAGTGTTCAGGGGAGAAGTTGATCCTTATCGGACTTTCAGCGCTATACGGGCCTTGTGGGGAACTCTTCTTGATACTATCTGTGTGCCGAATGGAGAACGCCTATGGATCACGCACAGAATTACACTTAACTCCCACTGTCTGAATTGGGAGGTTAAGTGTTGGCTCACCATTGTCAACAGTCGATTGTTGCCATCCAACAACACGACAGATATCAATCTACCACGGGCGTCCGCAATCCACTGTTTCATGTCCCACAGTGATTTTGATGTGGCCTGACTCATCCATGAAGAGATGTTCATCAGATCACCTGAGCTAATCAAGGGCCACTACTTCCCTTCGCTGATCACCGGGCTGTGCCATATTGCTAGAGTCCCTAAAGACCCTCGGGTTGATGGGAGATTACCACTGAAAGCCCTATTCCAGGCGAAAAAAATTGGAATTGGATGAGAGCCGGTGGTGAATGTTGATGACTCTGACGATGATTCAGCTGATGATGATGATGACGCGGAGATAGCTGAGGTTCCTCCTCCTCCGAGAGTTGATGTGGCAGGCCCATCACAGCCACGCCGGAGCACCCGTATGACAGCTTTGGAACAGGAGATGGATGGGTTGCGTACCGTAGTCATTGATTTGGGTGCCCGTATTGATGTGGTGGCTGATAGGCAGGTGAAGTCGGAGAAGAAATTCTTGGGCTGGTTGAGAGCTCTGGGACGTGCTTGCAACGTGAACCCAGGAACCGTCTCCGATCAGGAGTGAGCTTCAGGGAAGTTCCTCAACCTCACCGTTCTTTAAATTTTTAAGCCATGGGGACATACATTTTAAGTGTGAGGTGGGGGATACTTCATTGTATGTTTGTAATTGTAACAATTGACTGTTTGATTTTGTTTGTTTTGTCTTGCTTTGATTCTTTTGATGTTAGAGTAATAGTTCATTAGGAAAGTTAAAATAGTAAGTGACGTGTCCCGACGACGAATCTTTTTCGGCGGGGTTCTTGAGGGACTAAGTCGAGAAAAAAAAATGGAATATGGAGACTCTTCCTGATGACTGATCCTTTAGAAAATTTTCTTGAGGGAAGTTAGTCTAGAGAAAAGACCAAAAAAGATTTTTTTATTTTTTTTAGGTAGTGTAGTAACTCCCCCTTGGTTTTTTTTGGGCTACGGTTCTTTTCCAAGGGTTTAACTTGAACCGGGTATAAGTAGTTTTTGTTTATTTTTGTTCCTTTTAGTTTTTAGATTAGGACTAATGGGCTACGAGCTAAATTCGAAAAAAAAACCTTAGCGTTTATACACTTGAACACAATAGACACTAGAGTGTAACGCTTAGCTTCATTGGTTGAATCCTGTTAAAGTGCCTTAAAATTGTATGTTTGAATCTAACTTGAACACTCAAAATAGAATGTCTTGATAAACCAATCCGGAGTGAGTCATGTGCCATGTGTGTGTGAGTTTTTACTATATTCCATGATTCACATTTGATGCCTAGAACTTGCCCTGTGTGTTTGCAAAGCGAAATTGTAGTTTCATTCAGTTTAGAAGTGATATAGGCATTTCTTTGTTGAGCCAGACATATAAAGTAAACCCACCTGAATGCAATACAACTTAGTTAACCTCGTTGAGCCTATAAGCCTGTTTATTTGGCAACCACATTGCGAACCTTACCCAATTGTTTGAATAGCCTGTTGTTTGAACCCTTTTACCTCCCAATAAGCACTTGAATTGTATTGAAAATATGCAAAAGCAAAAGTGTGGGGTGGTGGTTTATTTTTTGAGTGGAACCATTGAGATAGAGAAAAGATGCTGAATTCTGAAGCATAAACGAAGAAGCACCACAAAAAAAAAAGTTATAAATAATTATAGTGGTTGATAAGTGGTAGCTTGTACAAATTGCACCTAATGGATGAGGATGTTTTAAATAAATGTGGTGGAGTGTCTGGTTGGCACAACTATGATCTTTAAGTTTAATGTAATTGTATTAAAAGTGCTTAGGGAGGTTAGTCACTATATCCAAATATATCCTACCCGTCCCTTAGCCTACATTACAACCAAGTAAGTCCTATTGATCTTAGACTGAGTGGGCTCACTTAGTAGAGTATTACACTACGGGCAAGCCTATGGTGCATCTTTGTGGCATGTGAATGTTCTTTTTGAGAGTGAGCGAATTTAGTCTATCTTAGTTCCTAATTGTTCTAATTATCATTACATGTGGAATTACTCTCTTGTGTGATGCGAGGGCATGTGATTTATAAAGGAAAGGTAAGTCTTGACTCTTGTATAGAGTGGTTTGAGTAAGTGCGAATGTTGCATGGCACGAAAGGTTTGACTCTTGAGGTAAAGGTTGTTCACTATTAGGTGCAACTTTTGTAAAATGTTCATGGTATGAGTCGTTAAGGTAAAACCTTAGGGAAGTAATTTTGATGGAGTGTGGTGGATTGCTCGAGGACTAGCAATGATTTAAGTGTGGGGTGTTGATAGTAGGCTATATAGTTGATATTTACACATTAATATGACCATGCTTTGTTGTTGTTTTATAGGTAAATTGCCAACAAAATGCTCTAAATAGTGTTCTTTTGTTTCGCAGGGAATATTATATGTGAGGAAGCAACATGGAGTATTTTGGAGGCGATAATATGAAGAAAACGCCCACTCGAGAAGTACCCGAGCACGAAGAAGCAGAAAATGGTCTGGGCAAGAAGTCCACCGTGACAGATTAAAAAAAAGTGAGGCAGAAAGGTCAGCTCTCACCACGGTCGACCGCGGTCTGCCGCGATTGCGGTGCACTGTTCACGCTGCTGGAAGTTTGGGGACCAAAGTGTAATTTCGGGGAAACTTTTGTAAAACCCTTATAAGCTTTAGAAACTCGCCTAAGATTGTTTTTAAGCTTGTTTTAGACTACTTTTGGAGGAAGAACAAGTGTGAGAAGATCAACCAAACATTAGAGTTTTTTCTGTCTCCTTTTAATTCTTGCAATTTTACATTATGAACAATCTAGTAGTTTTTTCTTATTTTGTTATGAGTAGCTAAACAATTATCTAGGGTTGATGGAACCAATTGTTGGTTGAAGTTTTGACTCAATTTATTATAATCGAGCCGGAATTATTATATGATTGTTCAACTATATTTTGTATGGTGATTAATTGAATGGGCCCTTGATTAATCATGTCTAATTACCTCATATTGCTTGAGAAAGAATATTAGGTCAGACAGCTGTTGAACAACACCACTTTTGGGTAATTGAAGAGATTCATTACTTGAACTTAAAAGTGAGTTTAGAGATAACAAAACTTTGGTGGGATAATTTAGAGTTGCACACATATTGTCAGCTAGAGTAGTTCGAGAGAATGCTCTAGTAAATTATTATAGTTGATCGAGAGATAATTACAATAACCCATAACTCTTAATCCTCATAGAGTATTACGACGAGATTATAGCGAAAGAGTCAAGACCTAAACTAGCAATTGGGGAAATCACTGCCCTAGACCTTTTTACCATTGAATTATCTTTGCTTTAGCTTATTGTTATTTTTAATAGTATTTGAAATAGTTAAACAAAAACCCAATCTTTATTGATCAAAAATCTTGCATCTAGAAATTGGTTGAGTTGATAATAACATTGCCGAAGAGTGTAATAAATAGGTTAGTTCCCTGAGAATTCGACTCCGGACTT